ATATATAATCTCAGTTCCAACTTGATGGTACTCAACAACAACAAAACACAAGCACACACGTTGTGTTGTTGATTGCCTTTGAGTAGAGCACGACTCATAGCAACTCTATTAACAAAAGGCCTGAAGCACCTCTACAGCTATGAACATTTATCAAAGTTCATATTATTTAGGAAGTGAATGTCACTTCTGCTACCAAACCTGTCATAGTATGTTATTGTTAGTATGTGCCATTGAGTTGCCTGCAATGTATAGCAGCCTTATGTACAGCAGCTCTGAACCCGTCCATGTCCTGAGCCAGTCTCACTAATTCTGACTCACCAACCCCTATTGATCCAGTTACTGTATCAATCCAGGGTCTCCCTCTTCTGCGCTGTCCATCTACCCTTCCGAGCATGATGTCCTTCTCCATGGATGGATCTTCCTGGCTATGTGCCCAAAGTAAGTGAGGTAGAGATTCAAAATCCTAGCCTCCAAGGAGAGACTTGGTTTCACCCTCTCCAAGACAGAACTATTTCTTTTCTTGGCCGTCCATGGTATGCTCAAGACTCTTCTCTAGCACTACAACTCAAAGGCATCTATTCTTCTTCTGTCATCCTTAGTTATTGTCCAACTCTCTGACACATAATGAGTAATTGAGAAAATCATGGCCTGGATTAGATGCACCTTTGTATATAGACTAACATCGTTGCTCTTCAGCACTCTGGAGAAGTCCATATCAGCAGATTTCCCAATGCAATTCTTCTTTTAATTTCCTGAGTGCTGGTGTTAAGAGTGCTGATTGTGGATCTGAGCAAGTTGTAATTGCTAACAATAATTGTTAACAACCTCAATCTCTTCTCCATCTAATATGGTGCTTCCAGTTGGTCCAGTGGGGAGAATCTTTGGATTCTTGGTGTTGAGCTTCAATCCATATTGAAAATTACAGTCCTTGACCTTCTGCAGCAAGTGCTTCAGGTCCTCTTCAGTTTCAGCAAGCAAGGTTGTGTCATCTGCATATCATAGATTGTTAATGAGTTTTCCTCCAACCCTGATGCCACACTCCTGCTCATAAAGCCCTGCTTCCCGAATGATCTGTTCTGCATACAGATTGAAAAGGTATGGGGACAGGATGCATCCCTGATGCACTCCTTTCCTCATTTTGAACCTTATAGTATTTCCTTGCTCAATTCTGATGACTGCTTCTTGGTACACGTATGTTGTTGTTATACCATCAAGTTGGCTGCAACTCAATAGCAACTCTATGTACAATAGCCCTAAACCCTACTCTATCCCTTGACAATTTTATGGTCTCTGTCACATCTATCCCCCATTACCCCAGAGACTGAATCAATCCCTTTTATTGAGGGTCATCCTCTCCTGCACTGTCCCTCCAACCTCCCACGATGTCCCTCTCCAAGGACTGATCCCACCTTACAACATGTCCAAAGTAAGTCAGATGAATCTTCAGAAACTTTACCTCCAAGGAGCAGCCTGGATTCACCCTCTCCAGGATG